GTTGAGGCAGTCGATTATATTACGACTGCGCATGCAGTTGACGCTGTTACTACTACCGATGCTATCGATACCACTGCAGAGGAGCTGGTTGAAGGTGGCGACGGTCAGGTCGATGTTCCCGTCGATAAAGTCGAAGAAAAACTCTGCCCATCTTCTCAACAATGTGATGTCGAATCTGTCACTGAATACATCGCTGAGGTTGAGGACCTTCTAATCTTAGAGTCCGAACAGCCTGTTGTGGAGGATGATGGCCGTGCCGAGCCAGGGCAGGACGTCGAGGGACATTCTCCACGCGCGGCTATGCCAGTCGTTGAGGATAACGGGGACATGGACATTGAATCTTTTGTCAAGGATGATGAAAAGACTTCCGTCAACGCATATGCCATTCCCGGCGATGGTACTCGGGTGGAATATGACACCACTGTGCCAGAGATCGTGGAGGAGCCGGCCCAGCCGCTAGTTTTCGACGCACCCCCAATGTTCTACACATTCGATGATTCAGACTCTGCCGAGTTGGACAACCAGCCTTCAGTCGAGCTACGCTTTGACAACGTCCCGACTGTTGGCACCCAGCTTGACACAATAATCGAATCTGACATCGAAAACGCCGACCTCGCTTTTGATTTACCAGCGTATGGTGACTTCCTGCCGCCGCAGAAAGAAGCCCTGCCCCTGTCTGAAACCACGAAGCAAGTCGCTTCAACCATTTTCAACGACGAGCTCGCCAACCTGGCTGCCTCTGAGACTTCGTTTGAATCTGCCTTTGAATTCGCTCCGGAGTCAGACGTGAATGAGGAGCCGTTTGTTTCGTCGTTCGCATACTCCCAGAATGATCATGACGAATCATTCATTACCAACACTACAGCTCCCACGGCTGTCTCGCCCGAATGCACGCGCCCATCAACCCCTTCACTTAGCCTCAGCTCCGGTGACCTCAACTCACCACAGACAAGCCTACTTGAGACACCTAGCCTGAGCCGCGAAGTGCATTCTGGCATTCTTTCTGGCTTTGACTCAGACGGTACCGCGCGGCTGGACTTCGGCCGCGCGTACAGGTATGATGCCGACAGCGAGCTTGACCCAAGTGAATTATCCGGCAGCGTCGGTCACGTTGCCCAGCTCCAGGGCGACACAAAGCAACGATCCGACTGTTCATTAGCCAGCAAGAGCCTCTTTGGTCAGTCCCTGGCTGTGTCTACTTCTTTATGCCATGTCGACCCTGTTTCTGAATCAGAGTCCGTCCCAACAGAAATTTGGCCCGGCACCACTGAAAACACACCGTCACCCGAAATCGGCTTCGACGTCAACACCATGGGCCAGCTGCTCAAGTTTGACGACGATGAGTTTGAGCCGAACTCTGTCCCCGCATCTCCCACGTTCAGCTGTGGCCTCAACTTCAAGGACTCTTTTAAAGAGTTTGCCATGACCAAGCCGACCGTCGACCTGGACGAGTATGCTGACCTTGTAGCTGACGACGACGCCATGTCAACTACTTCTCGAGTTGACGATATCATCGACAGCATTCTAGAGGACGTCGTCGTCGACAAGCACAGTCAATCGCACACCGGGGTTGAGGGCGTCATCAACGCGGAACCCTGCGAATACGACAAGCCATTGCAGCCGGACGAGGAAGCCGATGACCTCCATGAGCTTCACGACCAGAAAATCACTGAGCAGGCCCGCGCCGTAGAGCCTCACTCCGAGCTTGCTGCCGAACCTACGATTGTCCGGCCCATCTCCAATTTCATCGCGCGGCCTGTTAATCAGCCGGCCGATGGGATGGCTATTACTTCTAAAGTTGAACCAGAAGTCGAAGAAACTGAAATTTCCTTTGAGCAAAATGTCGAGCTTGAGACGGTCACAAAAGAACTTCACAGCACTCCTACTGTTTACTTCCGACACATTGCCTCTTCCGTTCCGCTGCCAGAGTCCGACGACCTGGAGTTAGACATTGGGCATGTCGTCGTAAGCCACAAGCAGGATCCTCTAGTCACTGATGAGGAGCCCGACTCTGAAGCGACTTTCGATCCAGTTTCTGAGCTGCCTTCCAAGGTCGATGTGGATCAGGGAGTTGACGCACCATGTGGGGCTGTCGCGATTGAAGATCTATTTGTTGAGGCGCCCATGGAGGAAACTGAAGTGACCCTGCCCGCTGTGATATCTGACATACCTCTCATTACAGCAGCAAACGAGGAACACGAGATCACTGCTGCTGCGGTCAACGAAGATCGAAGTCTAGATGCGGCGCCAAGGCAGATCATTGCTGAAGACACTCAAGATGACACCCTGCACAATGCTGTGGAGGAGCTCCAGCCGCCCACGGAAATTAATGCCGATACGAATGAAGATTCCGAGCTTGTGAATCCCACCAACCCCGACGTCATCGGCATTTCTGAGATGAATCAAGATCAAACGCCTGTGCTCCAATGGTCCGCCCCGGATGATATTGTCGAGCTAGGCGTTGTGTCTTCACCTGTCCCTATTGCACAAACTCTTGTCGACGAAGTTCCGGTGCCTATCATTCCTGCCGAGATGAAATCTCTATCTTTTGTTTCCGCCTTACGGTCGGCTCCTCTTGAGCAGATCGTGGAGATCCCGGGACGGCCCACCAACTCTTCTACTTTTACAGACACGTGTGAGGAGACGACGTGTGACTCGACCGATTACATCACAGACTTCAAAGAGACTCCAGCATTTCCCGCGCCAAAGCACACGATTTCCTGGTCACTTCCTCGCGCCGGCCATCTCGGTCTGGATGAAACCCGCCTTATCCGGGTCGGACTTCGCAGTGCTTTGACAGGTTCACGCGCATTTGACAATATACCCTTCACGATCAAAAAGTGGCAGCCGCCAACTCCGCCAGCTCCAGAACCTACTGTGGCTGAGGAAGACGGCGTACTGACCCAGTCTTCACCGGAATGCTCGCCTGTACAAACGCATCCTGTTCGCAGGGAGGCCGTGGCGTCCAAGTCTGAACTGGCGTCGTCTACAACGTCCAAGAGCACGCACACAGCGTTGGTCGCCAACGAGGCCCTAATAGAAGATACGCCGGCCACAACACAAGACAACATGCTGCCCCGTGTGGTGATTGCATTCGCTAGCATGGCCATCATGTCGCAGATGATAAATAGGTCGTCGTGATCTGCTATCATTTTATCATACGGTTTGTTTGTTTATGATTTAATTTTGTTTTTTGATATGGCGTTTGAGGGACATGGAATCAGATAAAACGAAGAACGTGAACGACATGTTTCATGGTAGTGTTTTGGAGCATTGGGTGGGTGCGGATTTGGTTTTTGCATTTATTTCTGAGCATTTTCTGGCATCTTGGGACATGGATAATTATGGATTTATATTTTAGAAATATACTGCCCGATATCACGAATTCCATACTGGTTTTGTTATTACTACACTTTCGTGTCGTTTACCTCCTCACAGACATACGTTACTTTTCTTCATGAAAATTTAAAAAAAAAGTAAGAAACATTAAAAGGCAGTTAAAGTAATACTCAAAGGCAACAAGTAAACAAAACAACAAAAAAGGAGATGATTAGTTGCTTTCTCCACGTGGCATTCTAGTCGGTTGAACAATTGACCCAGTGCATAAGTCGCCGGTTTGTCCATAGCTTCTCAACAACGAATGTTCACTCAAAACAGTTACTAACATGTCCTTTGTTTGGGCCTGTGCTCGCATTCGTTTAATTTAGCACTGTCGCTCCTGTATTTTCTGTTTTGTCAAACCAGCGACGGAGTTGCTAAACCAGCAGACTGTCCCTAGTTAGAGTGTGATTAGTGAACATTGTGTATTCGACTTACACGATTACATACGTGGCAAACAGCAACACAAGACTAAATGCCATTGTTATATAAACAGCTTGGGAGTAGTTAGCGTTTGTTACGTTTACTCATGTACTCTAGGCTCAATAGCATTAAACTTTCTCACTCGTGATATCACCATCGCATTTCATGATATTTCACACAAACCTCACCAACGCTCACCAATTTCAATCTTGTCACTTTTCTACACCACTAGTACCATGCCTCTGTGGCAGTTCTTCCATCCCCCGGTGGCCTTTTCCACGGCGGCCGAGAAACAGGCCGTCGTCGACGACGTCACGCGGATGTACACGGGCATTGGCCTGCCGGCGTTTTACGTGGTCGTGCAGTTCTTCCCGCTCGATGTGTCGGGGAGCGGCGGCAACTTCTTTGTCGGCGGGCAGCCGGCCGCAAACTTTGTCCGCCTCGTCATCCACCACCTGGCCTTCCAGTCTCAGGGCAGCGTCGCCGCGCACACTCAGATTGCCACGAATGTGGACCGCGTCGTGCAGCCGCACCTGGCGGTGCGCGGGTTCGACTGGGAGTACCACGTCAGCGAGAGCCCGCCGACGATGTGGAAGATCAACGGGTACGTGCCGCCGGTGATGGGCAACCCAGCAGTGACGACGTGGGCCAAGGAGAACAAGCCGAGCGCTTACGAGGGCGACGGCCGGTCCAAAACGGAGGAGGGCGGCGAGGCAAAGGCGTCGAAAGACGAAACGAAGTTGTAAAGAGGTGTGGTAGATTGTCTTCCGCCATCTCTTGTGGGTTTTCTTCTATTTTTATTTTAAAGAACCGCTTTACAGCTATACATATATATGAAATACATGTAAACCTTTTTCCGGGATTGTTGAGGATAGACTGACGTATTCTCATCGATGCTCAACGCTCATTGCAGCTTTTAGTTGGGCTGCTTTGGGATTAGCGGTTCATTTGGGACTCAAAAGCTGTCCTAAAGTTGTGAGCGTCAGTGAGTTCAGTGGGCTTCAGTGAATTTCAGTGACGCCACCCGTGAATTATGTGCCCCACATATTAGGCTGTGAGCCGCCTTAGCAGCCAACGATATCAGAGCACGGCCTAGCATTACACCTCCAAAGTCGTAATGTTGCCTCTTCATCGACTTCATCGCGACCATATCACCTTCAACTCCATACATCTCCATCGCGTCTTCTGTGCACCATACCATGGATGACGACGACTTTGGCGCGGATGCCGACTTCCTTGCAGCCCTGGCGGCCACGGATGTCGGCAACAACAGCAGCAGCAACAAGGTGCCTGCGCAGCAACAAGTACGGACACAATCACCAGCACAACAACGGCCACCGCCGACAGCGCCGCGGATACAGCAGCCCACGCCGCAGAGAATCCAGAAGCCTGGCGCCGCACCGGGGGGGCAGCCGACACCGCGCATCGTGCAGCCGACACCCCAGGCGCTGGGAGGGCCGGGCGTCGTGGGTTCGTCGGCCAGCGGCGCGTCGTCGACGCCGCATCTGACGCGCGGAGGACCCGCGTCCGGCTCGACGATTCTCGTGTCGCCGCGCCAAAAGGGCAACCCCATTCTGGCCCAGCTGCGGTCGGTGCCCTGGGAGTACAGCGACATTACGGCCGACTACGGTCTGGGCCCGTCGACCGTGGCCCTGTTTCTGAGTCTCAAGTACCACCGGCTGCACCCCGAGTACGTGTTTGCGCGCTTTCGCGGTCTGACGGCCGGCGGCGCGCCGCGCCACCGCCTGCGCATCCTGCTGGCGCTCGTCGACATTGAGAACCACGAAGAGACGCTGCGCGAGCTCGCCAAGACGTCGCTCGTCAACCAGGTGACGCTGATTCTGTGCTGGTCGGCGGCCGAGGCCGCGCGCTACCTGGAGCTGTACAAGACCTTTGAGCACGCGTCCAACTTCTCGGCCATCCGCGGGCAGCAGGCGGCCGGCTACGCGGAGCGGCTGGTGCAGTTTGCAACGGTGCCGCGGGCGGTGAACAAGTCCGACGCGGTGGCGCTGGTGGGGTCCTTTGGCAGCCTGCGGCGGGCGGTGCAGGCGGAGCCGGAGCAGCTGGGACTGGTGGCCGGCTGGGGCGAGAAGAAAGTGCAGGCGTGGCGGCGTGCGGTGGAGGCGCCGTTCCGGGTGCAAAAGGGGCGGAAGAAGGGGGCCAAGGCGGCGGCGGGGACGGGGACGGGGACGGGGACGTCTGGCAACACGACTGCCGAGGCAGAGGCAGAAGCAGAAGCAGAAGCAGAAGCAGAAGCAGAAGCAGAAGCAGAAGCAGAAGCAGAAGCAGGGGAGATCGGCACCGACTTTGACTCGGTTTTCAACAATCGTTTACATCAAGCGCAGACGGCGGATGGGGTGACAGCAGCAGCAGCAACAGCAGCAGCTCCTCCCCCACCATCGCCCAAGAAGCGCGGTACGTCGGCAGCCAGCACGTTTAGTCCGCCACGACCGCAGCGGCCGCCGGAGGAACTCAGCGACGGCGTTGCAGCCGCCCTGGCCAAGCTGCGGGACAAGTGAAGCGACTCGACTTGTGGCCGAATGATCGACCTTCTTCCACTTACCACTGTACGACTAAGACGCATTGTCACGTTGCACGAAATTAAGCATCCTCGTTTTTTGATGGACAATGTCATGTTCTTCGGCGAAAGCGGGGATCCATGTGGCCCGGTCTAGGTCGCAGCTCCTGGTCGAGGCTGCGTCTGCGGCTGCATGTGCGTCTGCATTTGCATCGTCGTCTTCATCGTGAACTGCTTTGTCCGGCCCCGCCGCCACCGTCGCAACAGCGGTGGAGGCCCCTTTGCGGAGATGCTTGAACAAGCTTTCGGACAAACTCGCGAGAGATGCCGCCGAGCACAGCTACTTCCTCTTTTTATGCATGAGTCGGCCTGTCGATCGTTGTGGAGGACAGAGACAGTTGAACGGCTTTACATGGGTGCTCCTTCGGCACACGGCACATACGGCACACGGTTGACCGCAATGGGGTACAAGGCACAAGTGCAAACCGTGCTCACGGACAGTGCAATTGATTGTGACTGTGGGCAGCCGAGGTCGACGGCATGTACAGTCTTGTATTTCAGAAGTCGATGATATCAGCCGGAATACAAACTTACCCGCGGTCTTGGGTCGAGTTTGGAGGGATATCTTGCCAGTGTATTGTCTGCTGGGTGGGAAAAGCAAAGGGCCGCTGCAGCTGCTTGGCAGATAATGAAGAAGATCATATTATTTCGTACAACAAAAAAAGAAGAAAAGGAGAATAGATTCCCCCCGCCATGCTCTCACATTAAAGGCCGAACTGACTGCACCTACGGCGTAGGGCAATGTCGCATGCCTGTCGTTCCCCTCAGATCGACCACACACTTTCCCATTCCTGCAACGCGCATTTTCCCATCTTCACCTCGTCCCATCGTCCCATCGTCCCCTCCGATCTGCTGCCTCCTTTGACTCCGGGATCTCCTTGTGCTTCATCTCTCGGAGAAAGAAAGGGTTGGCAGTCGGAATTTAAGGCCAAAAGTATTGCCGATGTGACTGACGAGACAGGTGATTTGCAGTGATGGGATAGGGGACCAACCAACCCCCCGCGTGGTCCATCCACATGCTCAATTTGAGAGACAGGCACACCTCTCTTCCATGGACTTTGGTGTGTCGTACTTTGCAAAGTAAATTGGACTTGTGGCGTTGGCCGATTCCGTTGGTCGATGCTTCCGAGCCGTGTCCAGCGCTCTTTCCCTTGGCGCCTTACAGTGTGCAAGTTCAGCCGCCAGCAGCAAAGGAAAGAGCCGCTCGCTATTTTGGGGAACGAGCAATTTGGGGATATCTGCGCGGGCATCCAATTTGTCGATGGCGCTCCGTCGTCCCATTTCTCCCTCCAACGCCCGCACGTTTCGTTGCCAAATCATCTTATTTCGAAGCCCGCCAGACTGTCCATCGTACATCTTCTTTTGGCATCATACCACCGCGCAAATTGGTACCCCCATGGGGCGCGCACTCTCGGAGATCGACATCGGATCCACATGCCGATCGACAAGAGAAATCGCCCAGCCTGCCACCGTGCCGGCTGCAAACCATACCACCATGCCCAGGCCAAATAGTCACTTGCAGGGACATCGCGGGGAGGAGAAAGAAAGTCATAAAGAACCTCGTCGCCTCGTCGCCTCATAGCTTCTTCACCTTCTTTCTATGGTGTCTAAACTAGGGCAAGGCACCGACAGAGCAAAGATCAAGAACTACTCAATTAGGAAAGTGCCAGTGATCGCCCGCAAGATGCAGCCAATCAATGGCACGCCGCGGTGCAAGGGGCAGGAACCACGCGAATGCATCTCGCGCTCTTTCCGGTCCTTTCATCGCCGTTCGTGATAATTTGTCCCGTCGATCGCAAGGGTTCATCTTCTGTTCTTTGTCTCCTCATATCTCTCTCCTCTTCGCATCGCATGTTCCCTCTTGCTCCGTCAGTCTTCTTACACCGACGTCCATGTCCATCATGGCCATCCATGCTCGACCGACGTTTCCGCCGCTGGCGTGCATGGCGCTGCGCCGGATGAGCTCATCCTAGGCTGTAGAGTGTCCATTCGCGACGGACATGCCGGGGCCTGCTTCCCCTCCTCGTCCCACGACCGACAGGCCGCGATGCTTGCTTCCTCTCTGCCCTTGTCTGACTCTGCAGCCTCGTGCGTTGGCCAGATGGCGGCGCACCGACATGCATGCCGCGATGCAAGACACGCTCCCGGATCGCCATTCGCTCTTGCCTGCATCACGCGTCTGCCTGCCCCCCGGGCACAACATGCCACCGAGAGGAGGAGAGGAGAGGAAGGCACTTGGCTCCTGCCCTGTGAGGACATCGAGGTTGTTGTGTCTCTCTTCCTTCGTCTGTGCCTCTCTCCTTCCCTTCTTGCCCTTGCCCATCTCACCGATCGTCGCTCTTTCCCCCGTTCCCAGGATTGCAGAGACAGCCAATTTATTTTGGCGTCTATATATCCCCGTTCCCCGTTCCTTTTTCCTTCTCCCGTGTCCATCCCTTTCCACTGTATATCTCCTCCACCCGCCTCCCGGATGATCCATTCTTTAGTGGTCTCCAAGCGCATCTTCATTTACGTCAATATTCCCCTTGCTATTGCTCTCCCGCGCTGATATCCTCGACGGGTGTCCCTCAATCTGTTCTCTTCTCCTGCTTGCTTGTCGTCCCAAGCTCCCACGTCACGTCCCCCAAAGACGTCACAGCTTTCAGCTTACATTCCCTATCGCGTTTTTTTATTCTCTTTTCCTCTTTTAGTTTTGTTTTACTCGGCCCTCGTTTGACGTGCTCTTGGCGTTGCAGCTCTTTTGATTTCATTTCTGGGTACTGTTGAGAGCGCTTTTGTTTTCTTTATTTATTTTGTCCTCCCCTTCGTCATCGTTTGTCTTATTCTCTCACCACCCTCCCCCAACTCCCCAACTCCCCAACTCCCCAACTCACACCTCCATTATGCACATCCCCGGTGCCTTGCTGGGTGCCGGCACCCTCGCCGTGCTGGCGACGTCTGCCTCGGCGAGCCCGACCTCCCGTCGCAACCCGAAGCCGCACTACGTCTCCTGGCCCGACCGGGCCGAGGCCGTCAAGACCGCCTTCCAGATCAGCTGGGACGGCTACTACAAGTACGCGTTTCCGCACGATTCGCTCAAGCCCGTGTCCAAAACCTTCCAGGACGATCGCAACGGCTGGGGTGCCAGCGCGGTCGACGCGCTGTCGACGGCCCTCGTCATGGAGAACGAGCAGGCCATCGCCCAGATCCTGGCGCATGTCCAGAACATCGACTTCAATTCGGCCGTCGGCGACATCTCGCTGTTCGAGACGACCATCCGCTACCTGGGCGGCCTGCTGTCGGGCTACGACTTGCTGACGACGCCGGGCGCGCTGACGGGCAAACACGACAGCGCCAACAAGACACAGCTGGCGGCCGTGCTGAGCCAGGCGCAGCACCTGGCCGACAACCTCAAGGTCGCCTTTGACACGCCCTCAGGCGTCCCCGACAACGACGTGCTGTTCAGTCCGCCGCGGCGTGGCGGGTCCGCGACCAACGGCATCGCCACGATCGGCACGCTCGTGCTCGAGTGGACGCGCCTGTCCGACCTGACGGGCGACCCGCAGTACGGGAAGCTGGCGCAGAAGGGCGAGGCGTACCTGCTGAACCCGCAGCCGCAGGCGCTGGCCGAGCCGTTCCCCGGTCTGGTGGGCACCAACGTCAACATCACGACGGGCGAGTTTGTCGACGGCAACGGCGGCTGGGTCGGCGGCGACGACAGCTTCTACGAGTACCTCATCAAGATGTACATTTACGACCCCGTGCGCTTTGCGCACTACAAGGACCGCTGGGTGCTTGCCGTCGAGTCGTCGATGAAGCACCTGGCGTCGCACCCGGCGTCGCGGCCCGATCTGACCTTCCTGGCCATGTTCGCCGGCACGTCGCCCCGCTTCGTCTCGCAGCACCTGGCCTGCTTCGACGGCGGCAACATCATTCTCGGCGGCCTCGTGCTCAACGAGCCCCGCTACGTGGCATTTGGTCTGGAGCTCGCGGCCTCGTGCCACGACACGTACACCGCGACGGCCACGCGCATCGGCCCGGAGACGTTTGCCTGGCAGGACGATGGCCGCCTCGCGGCCAAGAACGCGAGCAACAACACCCCGCCGCCGGCGGACCAGGCCGACTTTTCTGCCAAATCGGGCTTCTGGATCCAGGACGGCCAGTATGTGCTGCGGCCCGAGGTCATTGAGAGCTACTACTACGCCTACCGCGCGACCGGCGACCCCAAGTACCAGGACTGGGCGTGGGATGCGTTTTTGGCCATCAACAAGACGTGTGCGGCCGGCAGCGGCTACTCGTCGGTCAACAACGTGAACGCGGCCGGCGGCGGCTCGTTCCAAGACTTCCAAGAGAGCTTCTGGTTCGCCGAGGTGCTCAAGTACTCGTATTTGATCCAGGCCGACGACGCGCCGTACCAGGTGCAGGTGGACGGCTCGGGCGAGTTTGTGTACAACACGGAGTGCCACCCGGTGCGGATTGCCAACAGCAAGTCGTAGCGGGGAAAAAGGGGAAGAAGGGGAGGTCGCTGGTGCCGTTGGGTTCTTTTCTTTTGACGGAAAAGGGGACGGAGGACCGTGTACATACGTTTTGTTTTGTTTTTGTTTTCTTGCATCAGTTTGCTTTTGACGTTGCATCATCGTCCAACGAGGTTCCGAGACACATGATCCATAAAGACAAAAGAGTAGCACGAATACGGGTTATAGGCCATGATTATGTGATCCCTAATTGAAAAAACACAAACTCGCTTGCGAGTCATGCAAGTGAGCCGTGGGACGTTTAAGTTAGTCCAGGGACCACGGGAAGCTCCGTCGTCGCGTTGGTTGTTTTGGTGTGTGTCGTCAGCACGCCGCCCCATGTTTTGAGGATTTGAGGATTGGCCAACATGACGTAGTCAAGAAAGGCAAAGCATCTCCAAAAGAAAAGAAAAGAAAAAGGACGTTGCCGGGTGGACGCTGGAGGGTGCGATGGAAAGATAGTTTTGACTTTTCTGTAAGAGATGAGGTTTTAACACACAAAAAGAATAAGAAGAACGGCAACAATTCGGACTGCAGCCATGCCAAGGCGAAACGCTCAGGGATCGATCGAGGAAATGGAGCATGGCCCGGGTCCGAACTAGTCCGGCGCACCATCGATCTGGCAATACGAAAGCAACTTTTCGATGGGTGCGATGGAACAGGGCTTATAAATCATGCGCATTCTCTCAACAGGGAATTGTGGGCCTTCACCACACCTGGACCCTTCGCATCCTTTGCGATCCATTCTCAACTTGAGCCGCATCGTGATACATCTTTCGGTCCAGAACATGTCCGACAAGGATCGAGAAACTATCGATTTCATTCACGCTGTGACAGAGTACAGCGGCACAATTCATGTCCCTCGGGCCAATGGATTGGAAATGCAAATGACTCGACATGGTCCTGAGCCTGACTGTCGAATTGCTGTCGGGTCTCCCGGCCATGCATTGACCGTACCGACATTGAACACACACGTCGCGATGCAGGTCAGCTTCTTGCAGTCTGTGTTGGGACGCGAGCTCTCTAGAGTGTGCATGATACGAGTTGCGGAGACGTATCTTTGGCGATGTACATACAGGGAAGAAGTACTCTAAGCTGTTCAGCCAGACCATTGGAGGGCTGCCAGAACAGACAAAGGCAATGAGTCCGGTACGCTGCAATATACACGCGGTGAACAACCTGCAGCTGTCGTATGCTAAAACCAATGACGTCTTTTTCTTGCATGGACCAGTCGACGCCCAGCGGCGACACTAGAAGCGACTCTAAAGCCGGCCTGGAGTCCGCGTCTCTGCACGCTCGAACCTGATTACACATGCACAGCGGTTACAAATGCATCTCCTCTTGATTCTGCCTGTGTCCTTTCTATTCCCCGGCGGGTGGAGATGCATTGGAAGCTGTCGCTGCAGCCCGCCCTTCTCAATTCGGACATGCGATGTACGAGTGACTCTGCCGCCCTGGCCCATGCCCTCGTCGCAAAGCACGCCATCGACGTCGGCCCTCTTTGTAATTCGTACCAGGAACCAGCCAACATTGCTTTCTAAGGCATTAGCTAACATACAACAATGCCCCCATTGTCCTCTATGAACCTGTCAAGGTGATGCCAGTGACAGGATAAGTCCCCGGGTATGTTTCGTTTCTGTCTTTTTTCTGTCTGTTTTCTTTTCTTTTTGTCCTGCACGACTTGCATCCCCCCCTTCTTCTTCCTTCCCACTTCCTCCTACCCTTGGGCCTATGGCATCTGCAGTTGCTGTCCGCTTCAGCATAGTACGCCTACCGGTGCATCGTCTCGTTGGTGCCGGTGCAAGTAGCTCCCCTCTGCGTCGCGGCAGACCTGACCCGTCCTCTTCCTCGTCTGCCTTTTCGTGCTTCTCCTCCTCATCCCTCTCTTCTGTGTATTTAACTCGCCCATCCCCTCGCCCCTCCTCCATCCCTTTTCCCCATTCCTCCCCATTTCCATCCTCATCTTTGCTTCGTCCCATCTCTCCCACAAAAGCATCCCACTCTCGTCACTACTCGTCCTCGCAATCATCGTCACATCCTCTTCCTACATCCAACTCTTCCTCCCCACCACCACCCACCAATTCATCCTCCTCCACCATGGCCGACGCGCCCCGTCCCACCGGCACCATTGCCACCAAGGGCATTGAGCTCTTCACCCTCAACACCCCCAACGGCTACAAGGCGTCGGTGCTCCTCGAAGAGCTCAAGGACGCCTACGGCATCGACTACACCTGGCAGCTCATTGACATCTCCAAGAACATCCAAAAGGAGCCCTGGTTCACCGCCCTCAACCCCAACGGCCGCATCCCCGTCATTGTCGACCACGACCGCAATGACCTCGCCGTCTTTGAAGGCGCCGCCATCCTCAACTACCTCGTCGCCCGCTTCGACAAGGACCACAAGTTCAGCTTCGACCCGGCCACCGAGCCCGACCAGGTCGCCATTGCCGAGTCGTGGATCGCCTGGCAGCACGGCGGCCTGGGCCCCATGCAGGGCCAGGCCAACCATTTCCTGCGCTACGCCCTCGACAAGCAGTCGCACTACGCCGTCCAGCGGTACGTCGGCGAGACCGAGCGGCTGTACGGCGTGCTGAACACCCGCCTGGCCGACCGCGACTTCATTGCCGGCGCCGGCCGCGGCAAGTACAGCATTGCAGACATCGCGGCGATCGGCTGGGCCTCGGGCATGCAGTTTGCGGGCGTGGATGTGGCCAAGTTCCCCAACGTCGTGGCGTGGGTGCAGCGGCTCCACGCGCGCCCCGCGACGGCCCGCGGCTTCACGATCCCCAAAGTAGGCACCTACACCGATGCATACCGGGAGACGCGCCTGCAGGATCCTGAGGCCGCCAAGAAGGAGGAGGCGTCGCAGGCGTTCCTGGCCGATGCCCAGAAGCAGTTCAACTACAAGTACACGAGCCCGTAAAGAGATGCGCGTGGGCCGTGTTGGCCAGAGGCAAAAGCAGTATGACAAGTTAAATATCCAATATAAGCCGATATGATGACTGAGTACATTTGTCTCGTGTTGCAAGTTAATAAGCGAGAAGGTCATTCATTCATTATTCAGGGAATTGACGCCCAAAAGCCGGCAATGTAAAGAAGGGCGAAACAAGGGAAGCAAAAATGAAACGAAGAAAAAAGCAATGAAAGTAAACGAAAGCAGAACCGAACAAATTTTGTGTCGTTATATTCTCTGTCGTTGAACACGGCTGTCATCCTTCCGCTGGCGCGTGTAAGTTGTAATGCGACGCTTGGCGTCAGCAGGAGTGAGATTTTTTTTTTAAAAAAAGGGAAACAAAAAAAAATTAACGTAGCCGCATGGAGCTCAGATAAATGCAGGTCAGCCCCCACAAACAACGTGAGATGACGAGGGAAAGCACGTTCGTCGAAACGAAGAAACGAAAACAAAAATAAAGCAATAAAAGACATAAATGAAACCTGACTTGATATCTTCTCATTATATTTCCAAATAAAATATTTTCCCAAAACCCAAAGTCACCATAAATAACAGCGTCAGCGGGATCCTATCGGCATGTGGCCGCTTTTGCCCGGTCGCCGTTTCGGGAAAGTCGTGGTCGTCGATGTTCTCCGCCATTTGCGTAGACGACGGAAAGACGTCAAACGAAAGGGTCGCGCCGGGGTCAAACCCATAGCACGTGCATGTTTCTATACCATTATGAGGTCAAAATTCTGGCTCATCCAGGTATAGACGCTCAGACTGACACACGTGCGTGCACTCGTACAATCGTACACACTCGTACACTAAAACACAAGCACACGAACGCATACGTCACCAGGCATCGCGCACACCATACTCAATCCACTCGTAAAGGAGACACCATCAGAACATGTAGAAAATCTCGCGCATGTTTACCAGTAACGGCGGTCATAATCGCGTGGAGGGTACCCATTATCACGCGGATAACCGGCATCGCGGAGCGGAAAGTCCCGGGGCGGCGGCGGGCGATCGTAAGGGCCACGGTTGGCATACGGGTCCGGCGGCGGGTAGTCGCGGCGGTAGGGGTCGTCGTAGCGGCGCTGTGGGGGCGGGTAGTCCTCCATTGGAGGACGGCGGGACGGTGACGGGTAGCGCATGCGGTCGTCATAGTAGTCGCGACGGGGACTACGGTCGCGGTAGTTGTCGCGGTAGCCCGGGCCATCTCGGCGCGGGCTGTACCCGCCGCGAGGCGGCGGTGGACCACGTCGGTCATAGTCATCACGAGGCGGTGGGTACGGCCGCCGTGGTGAGCGAGACCGACCACGGTCGCGATATTGGAAATCAGTGTGCGACTGTTTGCTGTGAGCGATACGACTTGGCAACTGCGAATCCTGGGTACTCCGCAAACAACTTACAATTGCAGTGCAGGTGACAACTTTGTCCCTAAACTCCGTGTTGTTTAGTTTCTCAATAGCCGTAGCGAGATCCTGGGCCGTTTCGAATTCGACGGAGCTGTGCTGTCAGTATGGAACACTGCGTGATATGTGATCTGAGAAAAAATAAATGCGGGATTCTTACCCTTCACCAGACCGGCTGGTCTCCGAGTAAACCACGTCCAGTCCCGACCGGCGAGCAAAGTCTTTGAGATCCTGTAGGCCAGAGAGTCCGTAAGTTCGTGGTCCAGGAAACGTTGCGTGCTATGATGGTGCTGGGTCATTGGTGCTAGGTGTTTGTGCTTTGTGCCTCCTTCTGCTGTTGGGCCTAAGGTACGAAGTCTTCCAGGTTCTCCACCTTCCTGGGACAAGCAAGGGGAAGAGCTTGACCATCCAGTTATAACCAAACCAATAACAAGAGAGCGTGCGTGTGAGAAGATGAGAAAAGCGCGAGAGGGTGAACGCTAGAAATAGATACAGAGAGAGCCGAAAAACCATCCAAGGGACTCGGTAGCCAGAAGCACCAGATCGTGAGTCTGCCAGTATGTCGTACCAGTCCGCTCCTGGAAGATGCCGGGTGAGGAACGTAGAGGGAGAGAGGAAAAAAGAGGAGAGCGTGATATGGCGGCCACCAAGGATGAGGAAATAGGTGCAAAACAAGCCATCGGAAAAGAGAGAAGAGAAAGCCGGCAAGGCCAGGAGGAAGGACGACACACGAGAGTAACGGCGAGACGAGCTGTTGGCGAGAGGTCCGCGGTGTTTCTGGCTGGCCCACAAGACGTTTCCAAGAATTGCTGTCCAACGGAGGAGAACGGAGGGGCGTCTCCGGACCCAAAAGAACAGCAACCATCCAGAGAAAGGGCTATATTAAATAAGGAGGGGGGCATGCAAGACATGAAGACACACGAGGGAAAGCAGAGGAAGAGGGTGCGGGAGATATACGGACCTGCCAGCTGGTGTCGTTGGGAAGGCCGGTGACGCCCATCCGGTGAGCGGTACGCCGAGGCCGGGGTGGTGGGCGTTCTTGGGATGTGTTTCCATTGCCGCCGCCGCTGCCGCCGTCGCGGGTATTGCGAGCGCCACGCGCAAACTGGACTGTGAGGCGTTCACCCATGAATGTCGATCCGTCTTCGGGAAAAGGTGCAAGCGCAGATGTTAGCAAAGGAGAAACCAACAAGCGCATAGTGTCAACAAAGAACCAACGGGCTGGGCCGAGAACTACATACGAAACGCTGGTACGACGTCGCGGGCATCCATGGCGTCCTTGTATTCGATGAAACCAAAGCCGTTCATCAGCTTGATCTCCAGGATATCACCGGTGCCATGTTTGTTGAAGTGGTTCTCGATGTCGGTTTTGGTGACTGTGGCCGTGAGGTTAGCGGTCGTGAAGGCGTGGCGGTCAAGCCAAGCAGGGCTGAATTGTGAGCGAGCATAGCTTGTTCGCAGCGTACCAGTTCGTGGAAGGTTGCCCAGGTAGAGGCGGGTATTGGACACTTCGGTTGATCCAGAAGGCGTCGGGGCCGTGGATATGGGGCCCGTTGCCGTTGACATAGCGGGCCAAGCTTCGGAGGAAGGTCTTTATTGAAGCTTTCCAAATGGTGTAACTTTCGACGCAAGGTCGGCGTACCCTCGATGAAGGAGACTTCGTCGGACAATCGGTTGGGAGGGTCTGGTCGAGGTAAATCGCAATGGTACTTTGGTGTAAACGGGACGAAGGAAACAAAGGATCGCTATAGAGAAGCAGTTCGGATGAAGGTCGAGAAATGCAAGTTTGTTGAAAGCTCGGTCACAGTTGGCGAAATGAGAAACCGAATAATGATCCGCTCGCTTGGGCAGACACTGGGAAAATAGCTCGAAACAAGACGCAAGGTGAAGGCTCGCACGGTGAGGAAAAGCTCGCAAAGATCAGTGAAGGAAAAGCACGGACGGGAAAACGTGACGTCTGGAAGGATGCGACAAGGATGAAAAATGAGGAAGGGAAGCAAATCGGGGGAGGGACGCAGAGACGGTAGCGGTGTGTTTATTATGGAAGAGCTCCTGGTAGAGCCGAACGGCTAGCTTTGCAGGGGTTGGGTCAGATGGGGCGACCGCTTGTGTGGAGAGGTGATTGAAACGGGCAGAAAGTGGACCCTGCTTGAGTAAAAGGCTGTGATTGACGGTGATGAAGGACGAGATGGACGCGCGCGCAAAACGAAAAAGGTCGACGAAGTGAGATGAAAATGAAAAAATATACAAAAAAATGAGGTATTTTGAGATGACAAGAAGAGAGATGCAAGGACAAGGAACAGAGGAGAAGGAGGGGAGACAGTGGCCAAACAATGTCAGGCATGGGACGGGCGTGGAGGGCAGGAGCAAACGGCCAACGAGGAGAGCCTGTACGCTGGACGGAAGGTGCCCAGTGTGGAAAGGACGATCCGCAAATGAGTGAGGTGATTGGGGAAATCGCAACTGCGCCGAGTGAGGAAGGAGCATGGGGGTCTCTGGTTAGGCGGGCAGGCGCGCTCCACGGCTCTTTCCTGGTGTCGCTTGTTCCAAGGAGACGCCGTTTGTTTCTCTAAAACAACGTCGCAATGCTCCTTCCTTTTGATGCTGCCGTATCGCTGTTGATTTGATCATCGTGCTGTGATTGATTTATCATATGTCTTTGTTTATTTTTTGCAACGAGTCTCCATACGTGTCCGGCTGCAAGGGTAGGATCATAGCCTGCAGTAGCATTGCATGTGGGAAAGACTGCAGTGCAGCGCAGTGCAGCAACACGAGGCAAGAGCGCACGATCTCGGGGAACAGGCAGCGTCGGTGGATGAGAAAGGCAAGAGCTGGCGTGGGCGCTCACGGCGGGTGTTCGCGAGCGCGACAAGTCAGAAGAGAAAGAACGAGGGGCTGGTTGGGTTTGGGCGACAAGAAAAAAAGCGGGGCACGTGTGGCCTGCAGCCTGACTGCCGCCCAAGGCACGGCGATGGAGACAAGAGGTGCGACAAGCCGTAAATGAATGGCCTGACCGAAGTCTTGGCTGGTCGGGCTAGCCTGATACAGAGCCCAACATGAGGGAGATCAGATGCGTGCTGTACTCCATAATTGGAAAAGCGACTGTGAGTGTGCAATGTCCAGCGGCTCTTGAGACAAGATGAGAGATGAGATGTGATGAAATCCATATCTGCCACTCATACCTGGTCTACTTCGTTGATGATGGCTGCAGACGAGACGTAAATAGGATTAAGTGAATTGGTTGAACATGCCAGGGATAACGGCTGTCCAGGCAATAATGCGTGACGGGTAAGGTGGTATACAACAGACATGTAAGAGAAACGGACAAAAAGGCCAGTAAAATCAAAAAGTAAAACAAGAACGCCGTGGCTATGCAACACCGTCGATCCCTTGTCCCCAAGCAGCACGTGCCTCCTCGCCTCATGCCTCGCCAAACAACACATCCACGGCCTCGTCGAGAATCGTAAACGCAAGATGGGCACTATCATCGATTAGCAGGGGGGAGAAAGGGGGGGGGGGATACCATAGATAGGGCAGTCATCGCCCAGGCAGCAAGGGGAGCACCTACTTTAGTCGGCTGTTGTTGAACGTGGCAAAGATGCGCCGGCTCGCGGCCTGCGCGTTGAGCCGGCCGACAACGCTGCCCGCGAGGTCCGGCACGAGCGTGGCCAGCATCAGGCCGGCCTCGTTGCGCGTGCGCGCCTTCTGGGCGGGCGTGCGCGGCGGCTTCTTGATGCCGTCGGCCGGGAAGAGCGCGTCCTGGACCAGCCCCAGGTACTTGAGCAGGGCCTCCTCTTCCTGCAGGTGGGTGCGCACGTTCTCGCGCAGCTTGCGCTCAATGGTGCCGCCGAGCAGCTGGTGCAAGACGACGACGACAGCGCGGCCGCGGAGCCAGTTGTTGCCGCGGTTGAGTTCGAAAATCTCCAAGAAGATGTCGCAGATGGGCTTGACAAAGGGCGCCGCGGTCTCGTCGGGCAGTGTGGATGTGGCGGCGGCCAGCTCGGCAGCAGCCTCGGCCGAGGCGGCGGCGGCGGCGGCACCGGACGCCGACGCATTTTGAGCAGCCGCCGCATTGTGGGCTGCGGCGCCACCGCCCAGCTGGCTCGCGGCGGCCGCAATCAAGTTCTGGCCGGCCGTCGACAGCTGGTCCAGCACGGGGATGCTGCCGAGAATGTCCTCCATGCCGTCGGCGACAGAATCGTAGAGCCGCGAGATAACATCGCGGCGGTCGGCGTCGAGGTTGCCTACGGACGCGGGCACATTGGTGCCGCCGCTAGCACTAGCACCCCCATTGACATGCGTCGAGATCACGCGCTGCGACAAGAACGCGCGCAGCTCGCGGCTGCGGCAGACGTCCGGCATCAGCAAAAGGGCGCGCAGGTAGCGCTCGAGGGCGGCGCGCCGTTTCTGCAAAAAGTCGCCTTGCAGCTTGTTGAGCACAACGCGCCGGCGCGGGAAGTCAAGGGCGCGCACCGAGGGATAGCGGCCGCGCAGCCGCTGGTGCAGCTCCCAGAAAGCGCTGTAGCGGCGGACGACGGTCCAGGACACGGTGGCCGTACCCGACGTTGCCATGTCGGCGTCGCGCCGCACCTCGATGACGTACTGTGCGTACTCCTTGCCCGTGTCCTCTTCGCGGCCCGACTGCACGCTCGTCAGGCGCACGTTGGCGCGGCCGTACAGACTGTTGTCCGTCTCTTGGAGGGCGTACTGCTGGCGCTGCAGCTCCTTGCGCCGGATCTCCCGCTGCAGGCTGGCCTTGGACTTGCGCAGAATGCGCAGCTCGGCGGTGTTGTTGGTGAGCTCGGCTTTTTTGAGGAGGGAGTTGACGACGGCGTCCTGGGCGCCCAAGCGGTCAATGTCGTCCGAGAGCGCAGCAATGGCCTCGACCAAGCCCAGATCGCCCGGTGCCGCCTCGTGCACGCCGCCTTCGTCGCTGTCGCCGGCGCCGCCATCTTTGGAAAGGTCTCTATCCTTGGCGGACGGGCCTTCCAGCAAGCCACTCCCCGCCATGTCGGACCCGCCATCACCCTCGTCGTCCGACATGTACTTGGCCTGGTCGTCCCCAAAGAGGTCGTCGTCCTCAAACACGCCAATGCGCGAAGCGGCACTGACCAGGCCCAGGGACGCAAGACTGGGCTTGCCGCTGTTGTCGCCGTGGAGCAGCAAGGCGTGCGCGTGAGGGTTCGGGTGGACGTGGCCAGCGCCGGGACCAGGAGCTTGGGACAGCTGCGGCGTACTACCGCGCCTTGGCTCATCTCTCACCTTTTTGGTGCTTGATGTGCTGCCGTCGACATCAATCCCCGAAAAGATGCTTCCCTTGTCGGGAGTGCTGCTCCTGTCGGCCTCGCCGTCATCGTCACCAAAGAGCGACGCCCGCAGGTCTTCGGCGGTCGTCGGGCGCTTGTCCTCCATGATGGTCGTCAGCGCCTGCTCCACGGCCTGCACAACCTCGGTGTCGGGCACGTTGGGGTCGCCGCCGCCGAGGCTCTGCACAGAGTCGGCCATGGGATCCGGCGCGGGCGGGGCTGCCAAGTTGCCGGTGCTGTTTGCTAAGCCACTGTTGCTGTTGCGGCCCGCACTGCTGCGTGGTGTCGTGAAGAAATCGTCGTCGTCGCCAAAGAGCGGGGTCGATGAGTTGTTGCTGTTGATTGCGCTGTTGCTGACGCCATCGAGGGAACGTCGAGAGAAGAGCGAGTCGTCCTGGGTCATCAGACTGCTGTTGGCAGCGGGATTGGTCAATGTCGTGCCCGTTGTGCGTAGATCCGTTGCCGAGCCTGCCCGCCGCGTCGGTGCCATCCCGTTGCCGCTACCTGCACCAACTCCAGTACCTGCTGTCCCGTTGCCCGTCGTCGCTTGTGCACCACGCAGGAGTCGGCTGGCCGGGTTTGGTGGTAGGGGCTTGTTTGGCGTGGCTGTACCTGACGAGTGTGCTTGTGAAATTGGGACGACAGTCAATGGTGAGACGGACCGTTGCATCTGCTGCTGCTGCTGCTGTTGCTGCTGTTGCTGCTGTTGTTGTTGCTGCTGTTGACGCTGTTGTGCCGCGTCTTCCGTGGCGAGACATTTGTAAAACAGATCCGACTTCTTGAAGCCCTGAAAATGTTTGTCCTTCATCTCATTGAGCACAGCCATCTGGGCGCGTAGAATTGCACGGCGTGCCCGGTAGTACTGCTCGGGCGTAGCGGCCGGGCCGGCCTCCAGAAACACGCGCACCGTGCGGCGCGACGCTTCCGAAATATGCAGCGCAGGCTGGGCGAGGTAGGCCTGGTCGATTTGGGCGATATCCAAACGGTCCGCTTCGGTCCACGGCGCAAGGCTGGCCGGTGTATCGTCGACCGAGGTATCGAGCTCGTCGTCGTCGTCCTCCTCCTCGTCTACTTCTTCAAGGGGATTGCGCAGGCCGTCGACGACGAGCCAGAACTGGACGAGGGGCATGAGCCGCTGCCGGTCCATATACTCCATGAAGTATGACAGAGCCGAGGCGTCGCGCAGCAGATCGGCCAGGCTGGCGGTCTCGAGACGGGAAACGGTGGGTGCCATGGGCCCTGCAAAAGAAAGAGGATGGCTGCCAGGACCGCCAGCGCCGGCACCGCCACCGCCACCGCCAACACCGCCACCACTACCTAGTCCTGCCGGTGTGCCCGGGCCACCTGACGAGTCGTTGCCGCCCAGAGCATGGCTATTGGCGCCGCCCGTAGCATGAATTGTGCCGTGCTTGCTGTCACCTCCAGCGGCCAGGTACTGCACTTTTTGGTCGAGCAGCCGCTTGCTCATCTCGAGCCGTCTCAGATACACCGTCATCTCGGGGTTGCTGTTGTGGCTGCCCGTGCCAGAGTGCAGGTCCTGGATCTGCTGCTGGGAGTCGCGCTTGAGCTGGCTGGCCACCTCGCTGCGGAACCGCCGTGCGTCGGACAGGATGTTGGTTTTGCGGATCGACCGCACAAAGCGTTCGAATCGACGTTCGCTGTCGCCCGGTACCAGGCGAGGGAATGCGGCAGGCGGTGCTGCACGGCCACCCGATGCGCCTGCTCCACCGGCCAGGGCGGCCGCCGCCGCCGACAGCGGGGACGACGAGCGGCCGCCGCTACCTCCGCTTTTCAACACAGCACCGGACGAGGATGCGTGTTGGTCCAGCGCCGCCCGCAGCCGCCGCACTGTCGATCGGTCTTGCAGCATCGTCCGGCCGTAGTTCTCCATCAGCTGGTTGTACGTGTCTGGGTCCGCGAGCAATTGCAGCAGAGGGTACAGCACGGCGCACGCCACAATCTCGCGCACGAGCGCCGCGACGGGGCGGCTAGCCAGAAAGGGCGCGGGCAGCAGTTTGGGCAACAAGCGGTCGCCGACCAGTTTTCGCAAGTAGTCCTGCTGCACGAGGCGCGTGCTGGCCTCGGAATAGGACAGCTGGGCGGCCGGGTGCAGTCCGTCTTTTGTTTCGTTCCTCCCTTCCGTCGCGCCCGCAGCAGCCCTGATCTCCCGGTACTTGGCCGCAATCGCCAGGTCCAGCTCGTCCGACTCGGTCACGGACCGGTTCAGCTTCCGGCCGCGCACTGCCCGTTCCGCCTCGTTGAAATCGTGGAAGTGCGCCGTTAGCAGCGGCACGAGCCGGCTCGTCAGGACCTCAACGACGTCGTCGACGCCTAGAAGGCGGTCCCGGAGGTGGCCCAGAGCGACGCGTACCGTGGCATCGACGTTGTTGGGAAACGTGGGGTTCTGGAGGGGCCCTGGTGCGCTGATGTGGGCGTACCACGAGCGGACATTGTCGCGCAAGATGCCGGACAGGATGGAGTCGAGGGCGGCCGAGACGCGTGGCATGGCCGGGTACAGAGGAACGGGGTGGTAGACAAGGCTGGCACGCAGGGCGGCGCGTTCCTGGGTCCAGTGGGCAGGCGAAACGAAGGCGGCGGTCGGGGTTCGTCGGGTGGAGGTCAATGTCGTGATGGTGGCTCTCGCCGTGGTTGTGGCCTCGGGGGCATAGATGGGGATGCGCACGGTGACAACAAATGCCAGAAGGCCGGCACAGCTCAGGAGAGCACCGGCCACAACGCCATGGCCGGCGAAGCGGATCGCCGGGAACCAGTGCGTGGCATAGCCCCAGGCAACGAAGCCAGCCACGCCGGCCAGCACGACGTCGCGCGCCCGCAGGGCCATCATGGCCGCGGGCAATAAAAGGAGAGTGTGTGTCGAGGTCTGTTCGAAAAAGTGCTTCGTAGATTGTCGTTCGCTGTGTTTTCGTTCATCTTTGGCCGACGGTGACGTCGATGCCGTTAATTGGGGGACTTTGAGTTGACGTCGATAGTGCCCCTGGCTTGGGACCGAACTCAGGGTCGCGCATTACTACAAAAGCGTTAATTAGTGGAGTCAGCCCCAAATGCAGGTTCGCTGGCTGTAATTGGCAGCCACCAGCAAGGTCACCTGAACACCACAGAGCAGGCAGGCACGACCCAACTAACCCCCACCTGGCGATATTTGGTCGTTGTGGTAGTCTGGCTGTGTACGCTGTTCGTCGTACGGAATACTAACACTTCCCTCGCAATCACTCACCACAAGGGCTCTCGCGAATTCACATGCATTGAAAGCTTTGCGACCGTTTTAGTTTTGTTTCTTTATATTAGACCCTCCGAGACGTGCTCATAAATTGGGTATGTACATTCCAAGGCAACTTCGGCCTGTTAAACATTAAAAAAGAGCTTCTATGTGCCCCATGGCATGAAAAACAAAAGCAATGACGAAAACAGCTGTGTGCAAGTGTTCTCTTTCGGAAGAGAAAACGGCTGGAGGCGACGCAAAATGGACAAACAAGAACATGAACAAGAAACCACTGCAAAACGCCGTGTCCATTGTATGTTGATGCTTCGATGTGCGTGAAGTGGCCACGTCGTCAATTAAAACGAGGGCTAAAGTCATGACAGGAAAGTCTTCTAGAAACGAGAAGCGCCACGCATTTCTCGATTTATGCCTTGATCGAGTACGTGCGCTGGAACATGTCGTTGATGTTCTCCAGGTAGTACACGCCGCTGGCAATATCAGCGACCTGGCCCTCGGGTGTATAGTTCTTCTGGAGGTGGGCCTTCTTGCGCAGATCGCAGAGCTGGTGGTGTTAGCGGAATGTCCGATGAGGGTAGAGAGAGAGAGGGAGAGAGAAAGAAAGGGGCAAACTTACAGCATCGTAGGTGGCTGGGGGGACGGCCTTGCGGGCGGAGAGGCGGGCCGGGATGTCGAGCGTCTTGAAGATCTCCTCGGTGCTGCCGTTGATGCGGAACGAGCAGAAGCTGGCAGCCAAACCGGAGCCGTAGCTGAAAAGACCAATGCGCTTGCCCTGCAGAGCAGACGACTCGTTGTGGCTCAGGATGCCAGCCAGACCACCCCAGACACTGGCGCAGTACATGTTGCCGACATTGGTGGCGACCTGGAGGCCGCTGTTGACGCGCTCCTGGAAGCGCTTCTTGGTGAGGCCCATGAAGGTCTTCTCGACGACCTTGTCGGTCAGCGACTTCTCGTACGGCATGTCGCGCAGGTCGGCGGGCACCTCGGCAAACTGTGCATTGTCGGGGTTGGCCAGGTAGTCGTTGTACAGCAGACGGGCGTACGACTTGGCGACCAGCTTGCAGGTGGGCGCGTGGAAAGCAACGTAGTCGAAGCGGTCGAGGGGCGCCTTGGACGCATCGGTGGCCTCGCCGTTGCTGTGGCCGTTGGTGCCGTTGGCGCGGGCCAGGACGGTTTGCTCGCGGGCATTGTAGGCACGGTACGAGGCGTCCAGGGCGCGAGTGTAGCAGGTGAGGGAGTAGTGGCCATCAACGTAGGGGTACTCGCTGGTCAGGTCGGGCTTGTAGAAGTCGTAGACGTGCGACATGTAGGTGCCGCGCAGACCGGGCTCGATCACGACGGGCGCGTTGGGGCCAATGAGCATGGCGACGGCACCAGCACCACCCGAGGGGCGGGCGTTGCCCTTGGCGTAAAGGGCAATGTCACCAGCAACGACAATAGCGTCACGGCCGTCCCAGCCGCTGGACTCGACCCAGTTGATGGCGTTGAAAACGGCGTTGGTGCCGCCGTAGCAGGCGTTGACGGTATCGACACCCTCAATGTTGGTGTTGTCGCCGAACAGCTGCATGAGCACGGACTTGACAGACTTGGACTTGTCGAGCATGGTCTCCGTGCCGACCTCGAGGCGGCCAATGTTGTTGGTGTCGATCTTGTACTTCTCGATCAGGTTCTTGGTAACCGTCAGGGCGAAGGAGTAGATGTCTAAAGGGGTACGATGTCAGCAGAGGGCATTTTGAGCTTGAGCACCTAGGACACATCGCCCTCGCGCCCTTCAAACCCTCTCCGGAATGGATAATTTACCCTCGCGGTCGTCGCAGAAGCTCATGTTGGTCTGGCCGAGGCCAATGGTGTACTTGCCGGTGCTGACACCGTCAAACTTCTCGAGCTCGGCCTGCTCGACATACTGGAGAGTTGAGACTGGTCAGTAACATGAGGATACGAGAGCGCGCGTACTTGCGACAGAAACGAAAGCAATTGTGCGAAGCTGGAACATGTGGTACGGCGAATATGCAGGGTTTCGTTGGTGGCCAGTGGGTGGGGTAGATTGGGAAAAGAGCTGCGAAAAGGGGGCAGAGGAGACTGGATTGGGCGGATGCGTTGCGCCAAAAAAAAAAAATCACAGCACGAGACACATGAGACGAGGAGCAGCACCCAAGACAAGTCGGTAAACAAGAGACAAAAAGAATGGCAACACGGTGCACAAAAAACAGAGACGCAGGAGCAGCACGCAGGACAAAGTGGGCGAGCAATTGGGGCACGGGGACACCAACCTGGCTGGGGAAGTAAATCTCAATGGCCTTGATGCCGATGTTCTCCGGGCGGGACGACATGATTGCGAGTGGCAGGGCGTTTGTGTATGGGTGGCAGGTGAATTGAGGCGGAAACCAGGGTCGAGGGGATTGAGAGATTCGAAGTGGTCAAAGATCGAGAGGTAAGAGAGAGGAAGAAGAGGTCGAAGTCGAGGTGCAACGTGGGCGAGAAATTAGAATTGAAACGAGAGAAAAAGAACGACGGAATCCGCAAAGGGGGAACTAGGCAGTTAGCACGAGTGTCTTCAGATGCTAGAAATCGGTGGCCAAGCTCCTATTGTCGGTGGCGGCCAGCGGGCAATCAATTGAAAGGTTACATCCAAAGAGGGAAAATCGACCAGTCCTAAATGAGAACGAGGAGCCAAAAAGCGTGCAAGGCCAGGCCCCCAACACCTGTTCACCGCCGTTTTCTCTCGTCCCTGGGCACAACCCCACGCATCTTGAGGGCAGCTTAGAGCAACGAGGAGCAGCAAGGCCAGAAGAGGGCCAAAAGCCTCGAAGGCAAGAGACAAAAAGGGGTACGAGGGTCCAGGCCCACTGTGTGATGGAGACATGGTGCGCAACCGGCCAATGCAGTGCTCGCTGCGGTGTGTAGTGCGCCGTAGTGCTGGGTAGTGCTATGGATTACTCCAGACGGAAGTACATCATATCTTGTACCTGGACGGCCGAAAAGATAGTGGGTAAACGAGACGCGGACGCACCTTTGTTTTAGTTTAGAGGACGGCAACGGCAACTGTACGAAATGGACAGTGAGGAAGGCTGAGGGGAGAAGGGGTTTGGAAGGACGAAAAGATTTTGAAAATTGGTGATCATCCAAAGAAGGGGAAGTGGATGGTAATGAGGTAGAGGGAGTATTTATAAGAAAAACAGAAAGAAAAAAGAAAAAAAAAAAAGTGAAAGTGTAAATGATGGCTCCGTATATTAGTACAAAATAAGAGGGTATGGACAAAGAGGCGCGAGAAACAATGGCAAGCAAAATGGTTTGCCAGGGGCCAGTTTTTGATAAAGTAGAAAGAAAAGAGAGGTTGGAGATGAAGTCCGTGGGGATGTGGTCTATGATTGGCAGTCTCAGGACTTGAATGCAAAAAGGGAAGGCAAGAGAGAGGGCAGACAGGTAGGGAAAGAAGGCGGGCGGCAGCCGTCTGGTTTTTGTTGGGCGGTTGACTGATCCTGCCGTTTATGCGACTTCGGCAGAGAGAGAACTACGGTAGACGAAAGAAGAAAGTACACACACCAACAGCATCCATCACGAACACGGAAGGTGCAGGTTGTTGTCCAGACGAGAGTCACGCTTTCCCACAACGTCGGATGGCCGATCACGGAACATAAGGCAGGCGCGTTTGCAGTAAGAACAGAGCGTACCACGATGGAGGGACCCCAGTTCAGCCAAAGAATTCCAGGCAGACGCACCGTAAAGAAACATTGTCATCTTGGAAGAGATGTTTGTTCTCAACCCCGTCCAACGGATCACGGAAGACGATGGACGATGGGTTTTGCTGGCTTGGGATCATGGGTCAGTGCTGTTTTTTGGTGGTCGCTCCTTCCCCTGATGGCACAGGACGGGAATGTGCAGATGAGACCATTCTCGGGGCTCTAACAATTAGTACCGAGCCACCTCATTTTTTGCTTTAATTTAAAAAAGAAAAATCGATGACGAAAAATCAGTAGGACAAGAAAGGCAAGAACGGTGCCCCTTTTTGGGCCCGCAAAAAAGTTGGAGGCAAGAAGGACGGAAGGCTACCAAAATTTGTTAGGCAATTGGCGGAAAGAGCCTCCCATTTTGTTGAGCTGGACGTCAACGTCGCCCCCCCCCCCCCCCCCCCCCCCCAAAAAAAAAAAAAGTTAATTCCACAGCCGTCCAACTAGAGCCTGCTGTCTCCGTCGATCAACGACGTCCTACCGACAGTTTCCACATATTACGGCAGCCTGCTCCCGGACTTGTTCCATTCTGGAAGAGGCCGAAGGAAAGAAAACGACAATTTTAAAATTACAGTTTTCTGATCGACCCGTTCGACCCTCCCCACAGGGCCACAGGCAGCCTTGTTTCTCTATGCGGCTATTGGCCAATGGCTCTTTTTTTCTTGTTAATTCCTGTGCCTTATGGAATCCTTGGTCCTGACTGGCGCTGCTGCAAGGCACGGCATCGGACATAGAGTGAAGTGGCTGTGTTGATCTTGTGCCTTTCTCCTAGTTTCGCCATATTTGTTTTGTCTCCAATTCTCGAAACGACAACTGCGTAATCTCTCGCCCGAGATGCCTCGTCATCCGAGATTTTAACAAAATCAAAAACTCAGCTGGCCATGGATGGCATGGCGCCGGGCACTGGGCATCGCTGCAAGCGGCAGCATTGACGAATCGTAGAGCGCAATCGGCATTCGGGCAATGGCGGTTTGCAGTGCCTGCATTGCTATTGTACCACCCCTCCCTGGCTCTTTAACTTGCAACGGGCGGCAACCATCGCGATTCAAAGTAAGATGGAAACGCCAAGACGGCGTTTGTCCTTTGATTACGACGTGGAGAGCAACGTGATGGTGCCTTCTCTTTCATGTTTGTATTGTGTTGTTTTGAATCGCAGCTTTGTAACTTCGATTTGAAATCAGGCAAGTAAAATATGTCTGCCTGGAAGGGTGTCGTATTGGTTCTGGAGTTCTAAAATCAAGGGAGGATATCTACCAAGTTAGGATGCTATACAAGTTGAGACGATGAAAGTGGCTGATGGCCAATAATTCGTTATTTGATGTTCTTGTCCGGCGGAACCTTCCGTGGTGGGGCGTAGCCTTCTTGGTCGGCAAAACGGCATCTACCAAGTCGGGCGTAGATCGATGGCGTGGCCAACCAGGCATCAACACAACCCGTTTTACAGAATACTAGTGTGTGGCCATAAGAAGAGATATGTCAACATTACGTCGTAAATCAGCTAGCAAAAATGAAGGGAGATAATAGGCTGCAAGACGTGAGGTCGTGGGCTGACAAAAAAAAAACAGAAAGAAAAGACGAGAAAAAAGTAAGAGAAATGCACCCTTTCCATTCCAATCTCCCACGTCCTCAACTTGGCAACTGCATGAACCGGTCGTAGTACGAGTCGAGCCACCGCGCTGCCTCCACGCCTGACTCGTCGATGCTCGAGTCCCACCGGCCAATGGACCCGACATAGCCATCTGGCCGCACGTTGACAATCGACACTTCGCCCGGGCCGAGGCTGCCGAGCCACTTGTTGGTGCAGAGCGCGCCGCGTGTGTCGAGCTCGGGCACGTCGTCCAGGTAAAAGGTCCAGCGGCTGTCCTGCAGCAGCGGCGGTAGGTCGGCAATCTCGATCTCGCTCTTGGGCATGGTGGCTGCAGACTGTGTGTTAGTCGAGATCAAATCGGAAAAACCAAGACCAAAAAAAAAAAAAAAAAAAAAAGGTTGGGTGGGGTCCCTACGACGCACTGATTAAAGCAAAGGTAAACAGGTGGCTAATGGCCGTGTAGCGCTCCGGCCGCAGGTAAATGTCCTCGGGCGCCGAGAAGCGTGGCTGCAGGCCATACGAGATCTTGGCGGCCGCGGACAGCCGGTTGACCAGCGAATCGGCCGACGCAATCGCCTCGCAAAAGGTGTCGAGGAAGACGCGCGACTGGTGCACGTCCCACATCAGCAGGTAGATGCGGAACTGGCCGAGCATGGGGATGTCGAGCTGGATGTCGACCGGGTTCGAGTCCAGGTACCGCCGGACCTTGGCGGGCGGCAGCAGGCACCCCGGCTTGGCGTCGCCCATCATCCACGTCGCCGCATGCTCCCGGTCGACCATGTTGAGCGCGTTCTCCGAGTACTCGGCGCCGATGCCCGAGATGAAGCGCACGTTCGTCTTGAAGTTCTCGGCCAGCGCCACGGCGTCGCCACCGGCGATCTGGTTCGCGTGCTCGTAGTCAAAGTTGACGAGGTCCAGCGCAATCTTGCGGCGCTCTTGCTCGTACGTCTCGAGCAGGACCGGCTTGGCCAAGCCGCGCACGGCAAAGTTGAGCTTCCACGCGAGGTTCCAGCCGTCGTGCATGGACGTGTTCATGCCCTGCGCCGATTTCGGCGAGTGCGTGTGACTGGCGTCGCCGGCCAGGAAGGCGCGGTTGTGGTTGTCGCAGAACCGGCTGGCCACGCGCTGGCCAATCTGGTAGCGGCCGAACCACTCAATGTACTTCCACCGCACGGTAAAGGGCGCCATGATCTCGCGCGCCCGCTGCATGACAAACTCCTGCCCCATCTCGCGCCGGTCGCCCTTGCCCGTGGCGGCGGCGCCCAGGCCGCCTCCTGTGCTGGCGCCGCCGCCGCTCTTGAGCTCAATGTACAGCCGCGTCATGTTGCGCTCGCGCGGGATGATCAGAATCGAGCCCAGGTCTTGCTGGTACACCAGCGTCTTGGACCAGATGTCGGGAAAGTCCGTGTCCAGCTCGCCGTCCAGCACACCCCATACCGCGGGCTGGGACATGCCCACGGGCTTCGCCTCGGGTATGCTCTGGCGCACCTTGGAGTGTGCGCCGTCACAGCCCACCAGGTACTGTGTGAGGAGCGTGCGCCGGTCGAGCGTCACGTTGGCGCGGCAGTTGATTTGCAAGGGGCCCGTCCCCGTCTTGGAGTCGCACACGCTGTACGACTCAAACGCCGTATTGCGCTGCACGTCGAGCCCGCGCTTCTTCATGTCCTCCAAAAACAGGCTCTCGACCATGCCCTGGTGCACCAAGAGAATGTACGGGTCCAGCACGTCAATGACGGGCGGGTAGTGCACCTCGCGGCCGAGGCGGTGCAGCGGCTCGTCGGGCGTGCCGCGCCAAAACGAAATGTCGTAGACGCGGACACCACGCTGCAGCAGCGGACCAGCCAGGCGCATTTGGCGGAAGGTCTCGATGGTCTTGGGCTGCAGGCCGTCGGCGCGGCCTACGGGTGTTGGGTCGGCCCGGTCGTCAATGACCTGCACCTTGACGCCAAAGCGGGCCAGATTGGCCGCCGTCATCATGCCGGCGGGGCCAGCACCGACCACGCACACTTGACACACGAGCGGCGCCTCAGGCATGCTGCGCAGCATGGTCAAAGGGTCCACGCAGCTCTCCACCGTCATGGACGCCGCCACACTTGTGGCGCCTCCGTCCATGGCAACATCGCCTGCGCTGCGGTTGTCGTCGTCGCCACTCGTTGTTTCGAGGACTGCTGGCGCCATGGCTGGCGTGGAAGCTTGACTGCCAGCCAGCTTTATATCTGGATGGGGTCGACAGGGAGGTGGAGATCCGGTCGAAGTGATACCGTCAATCAGCAGCTGTAACCTTCCGATTGGACAGTAGAAAGGCTAAAATTCGTAAGAGAGCGGCTCTTTTCTGAGACTTTTCTATTGACCTTGATGGCAGCCAAACAAGGGACGTCGAAGTGATGGAATCGAGGCCAGTGGAGATGTGTAAGACTGTTGGCGGAAATGGCGCTAGCCGAGGAACAGCTCCTAAAGGCGGAATAGTCTGCAAATCGATGAATAACTATTGAAAAATGTTGGGGGACGTGTAAGCCGGGCGCAGAAGCCGTGGCCGACAATCTACGCATCGGGGTCGAGGTCAACGAGGACGAAGCGGGAGGGGAAAATGTCGGGTATCGATGCAAGAGCCGAGGATGCAAATTAAGAAAAGCCGGTCGAAACAAGGGGCAAAGGCAAAGGCAAAGGGGAAGGTGTAAGGATGTGAGAAAAGGAAGGAGCGATGGGCCTCCGGCGTCTAAGCCCACGATCGGGAAGAGGGAAGACAAAAGAAAAAGAAGAGGGAGAAAAGGAAGAGCCGCCGGGACAAGTTTCTGTAAAATAATAAGACAATAGAAGGCAGGGGGCCGGACCGAGCACGGCGTAAGATAGCACCCTCCTTGACTCTGATTCGTCTTTTGACGTTGTGAGGGACAGACTTGGAGAGGAGAGAAACCTCGAAGGTGTTATGGGCTCATACACATGCGACGCACGTCCAATGGGGGGGTCAGCTCGGCCTTTCGTCTCTGCTTGTCGTGTGTTTCCGCGGTATCTCGGCAAGGCTGTAAGAATTGTAGGCGTAGAAATGGAGTGTTCTTGGTAATGCACGTCTGTAGTCGCGAGTGTCGCGCGTGGGCGGGTGACGGAATGGAGTGGAGAGTTCTTTCCGTGCGGATGTACAAAAGTACATAGAACGACTGAAAAGGGACAGAGAACGATTGCGAAAGGTGAGAAAACGTGCCGAAGATTACAAGAAGGAAAGATCAAGCGAAGAAAAAGGACGCTGCCCGGAAGGATCGGGGCGTCGATGAGGACAGGATGAAAAGGATACAAAGTGCCAGGAAGGAACGAACGTGTCAGAGCAAGATCGGTGTCGTCAGACACTGAGCGAGATCGCACGACGACGGAGTGTGGTGACTAAGGCCGGGGCTGGCAAGCGTGATGGAAGAAGCGGACAGGCTCTGGCAAGGAGCCTTTTCTAAGGGAGCCGGCCAAAATAAAGCCGATAATCTCGACGGGAACACGCAAGCACGAAAGGTACTCTTTGCTTTTGCGGACGAGACGTGTTTGGAGCACATGGTCGAGGAAAAGTACCCAAGCAAATTCGACAAGAAAAATCAGGGGACTCTCAATGCCCATGTTTCTTTTCCTTTATCATTTCACCATTATCAGACTCTTAGTTTCTTGCTCTCTCCTTCCAGAGGGGCCTTTGTTGGCGCAAGGGTGGTGTGGGCGTACGAGGCGTACGAGGCGTACGTTTATCATGTCGCCGAGTTCATTCGATTTCGACGAGATGTGGTCTGATTCTTTGAAGCTCTGGGCCGCGCTGTGCCTTTCGAGGCGTATCATTGGTCGTGATGAAAGGTACCATGAACGCCTTTTTGTATGGCATGGGTACTTGTGTGTCAAAGAAAGTGGAGGTGCCTGCAGGACGCTAAAACGTTCCTGCCTAGCGATGTGTGACCAAATATACCCTATACCCCAATGTTTTCGCTGTAGCAAAGGCAAGTGCGACCTGCTCGCGCCTTCCATAGCGGGGTCGAACCGCGAGACATCAGACCATTTATTCGTGCCGTCGTGGCTGTCCCTGCCTTTTCTGTCTCGCGCCACCTTTGCATCTTGGCCGATTTCTCACCTCTTATCGTGACGCATTCCGTCTTGGATGGGTGACTTCCGCAATGGGCGATATCCACGGAGGAAGGAGCTGCGGGGACTATGTTGTAGGTTCCCTGCACTGCCCATGCCAAAGGGAGCAGGGAGCACGTGAGTACATAAAACCAAATGAAGAGCAGCCTTCTGCGACACTTACAAAGGCGGATTGGGAGTTTAAGCCTCAATGGTCAACAACCATGACCAGGATCTAGAGTTCCATATGTTTCGTCTCGTGTGGCTGCTGTGCATGCGCGATGTAAAAGCGAGCAGCTTTCCCAAGCGCCAGTGGAGTGGTAAAGAGCAGCAAAATACTCGGACAGTTGTATCCTATACGAGCACGGGAAACGACGAAGAATGAACTGCAGATCATACGAACAGCAAAGCCAGCAGCCGACCGGCGTGCTGACAGTTTGTCCAATCATGTTTGTTGCCTTGTTAAAAGACTCGACGGTGAGCTAAACGGTGAGCTCAACGGCGTGCTCTGTGTAGGCACTGAGTTGGATAGACGTTGGCCGTGATGGTGAAGCGCCTTATGATTTATTCTCTTTGTCACTGATAGAAACGGCAGGCGGCGTAGGTGGACATGCTGTTCTGTGCGATTGAATTGTGCATATTACATTTCATAGTGGAGTCATCGATCATCTCATGCCGTTACATGGTCCAGTCGGGTAAAGCCGTCGAAGAAGGTGAACAAAATCAGGTTGGTTCGCTGATGAGGGCTCTGTGATGTCAGAGAAGTCTGCACGCTGGTACGCCTCCTCTTAGTATAAAACGGTGTCTACCACTTGAAAGTGAAGAATAATACCATTCATTAGCAATGGTATGCTGAAAAATCGTTATATATATGTTGATTTCACCGACACCAAAAACAGGATTCCTTGTGCACAATTTTATTTTACTTTATTTTTTTTTGAAGAAATAGAGAAAATATATTAATTTTTTAAAAAGAAAATTCAATGAAAAACGTGTTTACGTGTTACGTGTAATGAAACATGACGAAATAAAAGGAAATAGGTCGGGGCCAAGCCGCAGTTAGTAAGAGACATAACGAATACAAAAGTCTAAAGACAAAAATCATATACAAAGAGAAGAGGCTGTGAGGATTACGCAAGGGTATCATGCGATCAAAATATCAACGCTCAACTTGATTACCACGAATACACTCCGTCCGTCGCCTACCAACTCAGCAAGGCCATGCCGATGCATAGACACAGAGCGGCTGTCGACTGCGGCATGCGGCCCCGCGCACCGCCGCTGCCCAGTCCGTCGGACGGGTTTGCCGTGGGCTTGGACGGGCCCAGACCGTCGCCGGTCGCGTCGGCACCGCCGCTCTGAACCTGGACCTGGGTGGCGTCGCCGGGGGCAAAGAGCACGCCGACCGTATCGGCACCGGCGGCGTCAATCTCCTCCGGGGACAGGAGCGGGTTGTCGAGCGATGCGCACGACGGGCGGACGCCGTTGAGCTCCGACGCAGAGGACGACGGCGACGAAAAGTTGGCACCGATTTCGTTGGTGACGGAAATGGGCAGGTCAAAGATGGTGTAGTGCTCGACGTCGTTGAGGCGGAAGTTTTGGCGGATGGAGATGTTGTAGACGCCGCGGGCGCTGTCGAGCGCAATGGGCTGGCCGTTGCCGACGAGGCAGTCGGGCCACACCCAGTTGACGTGCTTGACGGTGCTGGTGAGTTCTTGAAGCATAATGGGGCCGAGGGAGGCACCACCACCCGTCTTGGTGCCGTTGCTGATGGTGAAGTTGTGCTTGGTGTCGTAGCTGTACAAGAAGATGGTGATGTTGTGGATACTGCTGGGACTGGACGAGGCGAGGTTGGCAGGTAGCGGGAGACGGCCGTTTGCGGTGACATCGAGTGCGACCTGCAGAAAATCACCGCCGAGGGGTGTACCAGGCTGGGGGGCGTCGACAACGGCGAAGCCCGGCGTGAAGATCTGGCCGTTTGAGATGGTAAAGTTGACGGCATCGGCCGTGGTCAAGAGGAGCGAGGCGACGAGCCCGGCGGCCAACCGGCCGAGGCTGGACAATCGGTGATCAAGCATTGTGCAACGTGCTGACGTTGATTTGGGGATGGCGAGGTCGTGGCGAGATGATGCCGTGGTGGAACGAGATCGACAATCAAAACATGGTGAAAATATTTGTCCTGGGAGGTGCAAATAGAAGACAGAAAGAAGCAAAGACAACACTTTATCCCAAAAACCGGGCCACTTTAATTGGGACACCCATCTTTAAAAGAAGAGACTACGACATAGGGGGAACAATACGACATACACAGAGCTTCCGGGTATGACGGTGACGGCTCGCCACTTCCCTGTCCTAGTAACCAAAGAAAAAAAAATAGGGAGTTGCATCCACGGCCAAGAAAGCAAAGTAACAAGCATGACGACAGGGGGCTACGAAACGAAACTACAAGCAGAGTTGGAGAGGTGGGCCAACAGCAACCAGTCGCGATGACCACGGAAACTTTAATTCTGTGATGCGGCTCGCTTGGGTCGTGGTGGGTCTACGAAAGATGCAATTACCTGGACTGGAAAAGTGTACAACGGGTTTGGGAATCCACCGTCGTGTCGCTTCCAAGTTTTGTGATGTTTATGCGCACGAGCACGGAAGACGTTGGCCCGGGATGTGTGACTGTGTGTTTGGGCCAGAGAATGATGATTTGGGTTAGATGCAGGGGACAGTTGCTACGATGAGAGAGAAACCGGGATCGTGGAACGGCGGTGATCACTTTGAGTGGACTAAGATGTTCCGTACGATCAGAACGGCATGCTTGCACAACTCAGGAAGCGGACGGATCACGGCGGGACATGACGTCGTGGCTTTCTCCAAACAAAAGCCAACAAAAGGCACTGGACCAACGGGCCGCGACGCCGAGCTTTTGTCTAGAATAAAATTGCAGCCCACTGGGTGGAGAGAGCAACGTGGAGAGAACGTGGCATCGCGCAGAGTGAGATACTCCATTTTGCGTACTGCAATTTGCGAACGGAAGCAAAGAATTCTTTGAACTGCGAGCGAATGCGGCAATGGATTTTCACGTTGATGATCTAATCGCAAAACGAAAGTGTCCTAGGAAGGAATACCAGGAAAAATTAACTTTCTTCCAGCTTTATTTTTGTGTCCTTTTTTTTCTTCCTTTGTTCTCGAACAGTGGATGATGCGCGTTGTGACGCCAACTGAAGCAGGTCTTGTTTCATGTTTTTGGAGGAAGCAAAGAGGAGACTCCAAGCAGCCAAGGACCACCTTGAACAAGCCAGGCCGTCTCGTCCCTTGTATATGGTACTATTACATCGTTATCTGATTAACACAACGTACATAGACTTGGACATCGTCTTGAAATTTCGTGTGTCGTAAATGGTTGACAACGATCGCTGTGCTATTGTGCTGTGCTATAAAATTGAAATGTGACAATATTTGCATATATGATGCGTGCTGCCCTACACCGCCGTCTTGGCCGCTGCCGTCAACGCGCCGGCCAGCGACGCAAGCCCGCCACCCACGCTCTGGCGGCTCCGCAGCGTCAGCACCGCCGCCTGTTGGGCCACATCCACCAGCTGCTCGGCCCGCCCGCCTTGCGCAAGACCGGCCACCAGGGCACCCAGGAACGTGTCGCCCACGCCGTTGACAGAGACCACGTCGTGGACGGGGACGTCCTCCACGGCCGGGAACAGACGCATGTAGATGCCCCCGACAGCCGGCTCAGTGTCGTTGTGGTCTTGGCCCGGCACGAAGGGAGGCGCGCGCACTAACAGGTACGGCTCGGCGGCGCGGTCGTGCAGCAGGGGGTCGTCGCGGTGCAGAAGCTTGGCAAACAAGACACCGCGGCTGCCGAGCTTGGTGAGAAGCGTCGGGATGTAGGGCAGCAGCTGGACCGCCTGCTGGGGCACGCCTTCGTCGGTGAGGGCAAACGACGTCAGACGGACAAACCGCTCGCGGGCACCGGCACCCAGGCCCAAGGCATCAATCACGCGGAACCAGTGCGGGTCGTCAAGGACGAAGCCATGGCGCTGGGCGGCGGCGTGCATGGCGGCCAGTTCGTACTGGTTGGGGGTCGCCAGGTCAACAAGGGGACGGGGGAACACGTGGCTGGCACGATCGTTCGACTTGTCGGCGTCCGTCACCTCAAACAAGCGGCTCGACTTGGCCACCGACACCGGCTCAAAGGCCACCTGCACGCCGCCCTGCTGCCGCGCCGCCCGGATCCAGCCGTGCAGACCAGACGCACTCCAGTTGGCATCGGCCACGAGCCAGCTGGGCTGCGCGGCGGCGACGGCCGATGCCCAGTAGGTGGAAAAGTTGTGCTGCTCGTTGGAAAAGATGGCCATGTCGGCCATGGCCACCATCAGATTCTTGTCAGCACCGTTGATCGCGACGTAGTGTGCCGTGCGCGCGGCGCTGTACGTGGCCACGTCGAGTTGTCGGACGCCGTCCGTGTCGAGGCCGTTGGCCGCCATGGCTGCAAGCACAGTGGCGCCGGCAATATCCTCGCCGACTAGGCTGCACAGCCGTACACGCACGCCCTGGGGGCTTCCAATGGCATGTGCGGCCAGCGCCACGTTGTGGCCGACGCCGCCGACCGTGGGTACAATGGATGCCGGGTTCGATGTGTGTAGCCGTGGAGCCGGGTCGGAACTCTCGCCGCCAAGGCCGTCGTCAATGTAATCACAGCTGAGGTCGAGCGCCACAGAACCGGCAACAAGCACGTCGACGCGGCCCGATGGAGTGGTCTCTGGAGCAGGGCTTTGTGTCTGGGCTGCCTTTGGTGAACTCGTGACTGGATAGGATGTGTAGGATGGACTATCGTAGATGTGTAAGCTAGGTACACAGAAGACGACCAAAATAAAAAGAAAGAAAGAAAAAAGAAAAAAGGAAATAGAAAAGCCAAACATCACGACGACGGAACGCTCACCTGTCCTCGCCGCCCGCCACCAGCGCACTCAGGTGCACTGCCACCTTGGCCGCCCGCGCTACATTGGCCTGCACCAGCGCCACGTTCGCGCTCACCGTGCGCTGGTCCGTCAGCTCGCGGATCCGCCGCAGCACAAACGGCGTGTTGCGGTTGCCCGTGTACCCGCCCGCGGCCGCCTCGTTGACCACGCGGTCGATGACGGCCTCCATCTCGAGGCGCGGCACCTCGCTGACGTGCGGGATCGCATTGGCAAACAGCAGGCCCGTCTCGACGCCGAGCTGTTCCTGTGCCCACACAATGGCTGCGGCCTCGGCCTCGTCGCCGACCACGGACGGGCTGGGGATGCCGCTCTCGCGCGCCCAGAACGCAGGGAACGCCACCTCGTTGGCGGGGCGGCCGTCGGCAAACGTGCCCACGTACACGCCCTGCGTCTCCAGGTACTCCAGCGTCGCGGCAATGTCCAGAAACCCCTTGCAGCCGCTGCTGACCACGGCCACGCGCGTGCGGCCCAGCTCGCTGAGGTCGGCCGAGATGTCCATGTGGTCGTGCCAGCCGCGGTGCACACCGCCGAGGCCACCCGTGCCAAACACCCGGATGCCTGCGAGCCGCGCCAGCACCATCGTGCCCGAAATCGTCGTGCCGCCGTGCCGTCCGCGCTGGTGGCCCCGTGCCGACATGACCGCCAGGTCCCGTCGTGACACCTTTTGTGCGCCTTCCTCCACCATCCGGTTGACCTCGTCCGGCGAGAGTCCCACGCGCGGCACGCCGTCCAGGACGCCAATCACGGCCGGCACGCCACCGTTCTCACGCACAATCGCCTCGAGCCGCAGGTCCATGCCGAGCGCGCCGTGTGTGTAGATGGTCGACTCGAGCGCGACGACGGGCTGGTTGGTCGCGAGCGCGGCCTCAACCTCCTCTGAGATGCGCAGGATGCCTCGTAAGGGCGACGTTGTCGCTGCGGCCGACGACATGAACCGCGGCCGGCTCACATGGCGTGACGCTGTCGATGCTGCCCACGATGCCAGTTGTGTCGGCGGTGTCCGGTGCCACCGTAGACAGCTGCTGGTCTGCCTCCACACGGCCGCCATGGTGATAACTGGCTCTAGCAGGTGTAGACGTGATATGAAAGAGAGTATGTCTGTCCACGTTGTGTAATTTAAAACCCTGGCGAGTCGTCGTGAAATTGTGCTCGTCGTGTGAGTTGTCTTATCAAGTGTTGAAGTGGTACGAGGTACATGTGACCTACGAGGTAAGAAGACGTAGATCGGAAGACAGGGATTTGGGGCGGGGCAGTAGCGGCCTGGAATGCTGTGGAGTGCTGATAGCGCTCACTGTAGTTCACCACGACGGCCGTGTCCGACGAGGAAGGAGCAAGCGAAGCACGAAGCACAGACATCTCGCCGTCGTTGGAAAGAGCGCCCATCGTAGTTTCCCAGAGACAACTTTCGCATAAAGTGCAATTTTGTCATGGAAGGAAAGAACAAGAACAACACCATCGCTCCTGCCATGCCAGGTCTATCAAAGTGGGCCGGCCAACAACTCTCAGTTTGCCGTTCAATCCCTTCAGAAACAAGCCTTCCTCGTAACACAAAATTATACAAAATTTCGTGTGGCTGATTTGTCACTTTCTGACAGAAGTGCCAGTCAATATGTCTGTGCAATATCAGTTTGTTCGTTGTATTTGTTCTTGCCTCGGTGTCAGTGTTGTGTAATAACCAAGTGCCTGCTGTGGGGCCCGCCGATCTCTTTCATTGGCAGGCGCGAACATCTTATCGATAAGCGATTACCTTTTTCTTTTTTTTATCAGCCAATTTCTGCCCTCCAAAAAGTCTCGAGCAGCACTCGCCTCGCAGGCACAAGACACATTGAATCTCAACCACGACTCCTCCCTCCCTCAACCACCACCTCCTCTCCTCACACATACACATACCATCATGGCGTCACGATCGAAAACCGAGCGCCAGGTCACGGCAACTGTTACCAATGACGCCGAAATGTCCGATGCAGGGAGCTCCGACTGGGAGATTGACAACAACAGCAACGACAAGGGCGGCAAACGCCGAGCCGCTCCCGTGCTGGACAAAGACGCGGAGGAAGAAGACCTGGAGCGGCTGGTGCTGGGCGACCGGGCAGGCTTCCGTACCCAGCTATTTAGCAGTAGTGGCGACATTGTGGGTGACGCCGGCCGGTCGCTGGACGAGCTGGCTCTGGCTGTGATGGACGATCGCGGCGAAGACAGCGAAGACAACCCGTTTGAGGATGCTGAGGACGCACACATGTTTTTGTACGACGAGTCGATGCAGCCACACACTTCGTTTGCCTCGACCACGACGAAGCAAATCAAGGCCTCCGGCACCGAAAACGGCCCCGATCCGAATGCGCCGGCATGGGAGGACAGCGACGACGAGCGGCTGGTGGTGTCGCTGGCCGGGCGGACGCAGCTGCGCAAGCTACGGCGGACAGAGGGCGAGGATATGGTGAACGGCACGGTGTACGCGGCGCGGCTGCGGCAGCAGTACTTGCGTCTGAATCCGCAGCCGGGCTGGGCGGTCGAGGCAGACAATGCCCGGCTGGAGCGGCTGCAGCTGCGGAGTGGCGGCAAGAAGAAGGAGAAGAAGGAGAAGAAGGAGAAGAAGGAGAAGAAGGAGAAGAAGGAAAAGAAGAGCAAGAAGAAAGCGCGTAGACGGTCATCTGCGGCTGCTGCTGCGGACGACAATGATCTGTCCGACGAGGTGCGGAATAGCGACTCCGACTCAAATTTGGACGCCGCCTCCGACACGTCTTCGGATTCAGACTCGTCCGACGACGAGGCCAGCTATGAGCTGCTTGGGTCGGCCCTGCCCCTCGACGCCCTGCTGCGCAGCACCAGTGCCATGGCCAGCGCCAGCCAGATGCTCTTTGCCAAGGGCGGCAAGGGTGGCGTCGACCGTGCCCGCCGGCTGCGACCGGAGGTCATTGACATCCAGAAGACACGTGACATCCCGACACCGCACGCCGGCCCTGTCGGTTCCCTCAGCTTCCATCCCGCCTACAACGTGTTGCTGTCGTCCAGCACCTCCTGCATGCTGCATCTGCACCAGATCGCGCCCGGCGCCCACCCGACGCCCAACCCCCTGCTGACGTCGGTGCGTGTGCGCCGCACCCCCGTGCGCCGCTCCGACTTTTTGCTTGACCCGTCGTCCGCGTCGGCCGACGCCCACCAGATTGTGTTTGCCGGCCGCCGTCGCTTCTTCCACACCTGGGACCTGGCCACCGGCAAAGTCCAAACGATCCACCGCGTCCAGGGCCACGCGCTCGAGCACCGCAGCATGGAGCGCTTCCGTTTGAGTCCCGCCGGCACGCACATGGCGCTGGTCGCGACCGACCGCAAGCGCGGCGGCATTGTCAACGTGCTGGACGTGCAGACGATGCAATGGGTGGCACAGGCACGGCACGAGAGCGTGGGCGGCGTGGCGGACCTGCAGTGGTGGCGCGACGGCAGCGGCATGACGATTCTGGGCCGCGACGGGAGCGTGGGCGAGTGGAGCCTGGAGGCGCGGCGGTTTGTGGGCGTCTGGCGCGACGATGGCTCGACGGGCGGCACGGTGCTGGCCCTGGGCGGCGGACAGGTGGCCGGCCAGACCGGTGGTCCCGCGATGCTGGGCGGCGACCGGTGGGTGGCCATTGGCAGCAAGACGGGCATTACCAACCTGTACGACCGTGCGCAGCTGGTCGAGACGGACGGCACTACCACCACCGTCGTGGCCACCCCGACGCCGCTGCGTGTCTTGGAGCAGCTCGTGACACCCATTACGAGCATCTCGTTCACGCCCGACGGCCAGCTGATGGCGTTTGCCAGCAAGCACAAGCAAGACGCGCTGCGGCTGGTGCATCTGCCGAGCGCCACGGTGTACCGCAACTGGCCCACGAGCAAGACGCCGCTGGGCCGCATCACGGCGGTGGCCTTTAGCCGGGACAATGATTTCTTGGCCGTGGGCAACGACGCTGGCAAAACACGTCTTTGGGAGATTCGGGCTTGACCGGCGAAAGTGAGGAAGGAAGACGAGAGATAAAAGGACGGCGTAAGGGCATTTGGATCATGGTTTCGTTCACTTTGTCATATTCCGTCCCATGCGGGCTTTTGTTGCATATCTAGACATCTATCATACAAGCATATGCATTGTCGTTACTGCATTAGGTCTCCGAGGTACAGCCCCGGCCTTGTTAATCGATTGTGGCCATCAGCGCTGCCAATGGGCTTCCAGACACAATTCTGCTCCGCGCGAAGAACCGACCGGTTGTCTCCGTGTAGTATGCGAGGGCGCGGCGGTTCCGGTGTCGAGGAACCGTTTTATCGGCCGCGGCGGCCTGCAAAAAGTCGCGTATGTTCACCCAGACGCTGCGAAGGGCCTGTTGTAAGTCAGCGAGAAGCCCTTTTGTCGGGACAGAGAAGAGGAAACAGTACCTTCTTGCACTGCGACTTGCTGGCAAAGTGACCATCAATGTCCAGAACAGACATGAGTTTCTGCCAATGGTCAAGTTCGTCCTCGTTGTAGTAGTCTTCCCAGTACTTGGACGCAAGGCCTTTGTTCTTGTTTTTCTTTGCCATTATTGTGGTAGCAAGCGTGATTAGAGTTCTTCCGATATAGACTTTGAAAGATGCGTATGATTGATATGTCGTTGATTTTCTCTAGCAGCGAGATGATGATAAATGTTCATCCAAAGACTGGAACACGGAAGAAACAGAGAGCAGAAAATTCTCAATTTAAGGACAGTGAATACCAAATCCCTACAGGGAAGGCACGGCTTTGTTTACTCACTTTTCGTTTGCCATGGTGCACGCTGGCTTTCGACATTTTTCGTTGCCATTTGATTCCTTTGTCTCAAATATGACCACCACGTTACTCGACAACTCACAAATTTTAAAAGTCAGTAATTCAATACTTCTGACCTGCAATCGTAATTCTGTCGCCGTAGACATCACACAGGTACACAGTTGCCAGCTTAGACGAAAAGGTTGGAATGCGCACAGAGCGGCTCCCGACTATTGTAGATAATGAATGCAAAAATGTCGTCATCAAAAGAAACAGGGGCAATGGCTCAGTTGGGAGAGCGTCAGACTGAAGTAATACTTCATTCAAAGCTTATCTGAAGGTCCTCGGTTCGATCCCGAGTTGCCCCAATTTTTTGGACTTTTAAGCTACTTGCTATCAACACTCTATAGACAGTGCAAACCCGTCGTGTTTGTTATATATCTTAGTTCCGTCTTGGAGGATATTTTCTTTCCATTTGTCATTTTTTCATTATAAGTTCCTTTTGTGGTAAATGCCTATGAAATAAAAACGAATCCGTTCTCTTTTCCTTTCCCAGTTACGGGCATGTCTGCCCAGCCTCCTCACGCAAATCAATTTATTATTCAAAGCAATGCGTCCAAATGCTTAAATAATAACCATAAAAAATACATTACATAAACTCATATCGTAAAACATTAAGGTGACAAATCTTAGAGACGTCGTATGTCAAAGTAAAAGAAAAGCAAACAAGGGTAGTTGGTAAAGACAAAAAAGAAACGGAGGGAGATATAGAAAGTGCTGTCAAAGCAGTCGCTAAATGAAGAACGAGACTCTACCTGCCAGCCGCAGCGGAGGCGTAGTCGCTGTCGCTCGTGTTGTTGAGCTCGTCATTGTCGTCTTCCTCATAGTCTTCTCCAGTCTTCTCGTCGCTCGTCAGCGAGTCGTGAATGCGGTACAAGGCCTTGATCCACAGGCTGAACATGGCCTCCATCTCGTCAGTGCCAGTCTCACAACCGCTAGTCGCACCCCGCTTGCTGTCCTTGTTGTCTTTGCTAGCCTTGGCCGTTTTCTGGGCTTCGGCGCGAAGCTGGTCGCGCAGTCGCTCGTATGCTTCGATCATGACAAGGATTTGCAGGGCAGAGCTGGTACTGTCGACAGGTATCGGTGTCGGGGCAAGTGGCGTATAGGGCGAGGCCACGGTTGAGGAGTGGAGGCCGTTGGCATCTTGGCTATTGTTCTGCTGAAGATGGCGGCGAGTGGCAGCGCGCTGCGAGGCGGATGTGGCCGCAGCTGGTGACGACCGGCGTATGACAGCTGACGACAGTTCACGAGTGAGCAGGTCGACGCAAAGCTGCAGACCCAGGTTGTCGGTGCGGTCGGGTTGCGTCGGAGGCGTCGGCGTCTTCCTTTTGCTGTAGATGTTGCTGTTCACGTTGTTGTCGCTGCAGACATATTTGGCGTTGCTAACGTTGTCGTTGTGCATGTGACTAAGCCCCGTCATACGGCTGCGTGTGCGAAGGGGAGGTAGGGGCTGCGGTGGTGTCGGGGAGTTGATGGCGGCGCGTGACGGCAAGTCTTGGAAGTCGGCTGTCGGTATCAGCGCGGAGCTGTCACGAGTCTCGGCCTTGTAAGTGCTCGTGACAGCCGGAGG